CTGGAGAGCAGGTCCTTCATCATCTTGACGGCCTCCTGCATGTCGGAGACTTCGGACAAGTGCGCCACGCCGGCTCCGCAGGCCTCCTCCCGAAGCAGCCCCGATCGGGCCTCGCCGCCAACCTGCAGCTGCTTGTCCTCGTCGCCGACGCCCGTCACGACCTCCAGCGCCTCCACGGGGTCCACGCCAAGGGCCATGCATTGGGCGCATGGGCACTCGATGCTCTAGGCCACGCCACGAACCAAAACACTCTTCTTGCCAGACTCGATGTCCCCGACGCCGGTGTGAAGCTTCACGAGCCCCTTCCTCACCTTCTTGCCGGCGACTTCGATGACCTGGCACGGGCGCTCCTGCACCAGAACGACGGAGCCGACCTCCAGCTCGCCGCGTAATTCGGACCCAGAAAACGCTCTTTACCATTCCAGTTGCGCCTCCCTGGGAATTCGGCCCCAGGTCCTTCTGCGCCGCATCCTCCGGGAAGCCGACGCCGTCCTTCACATCGCGAGGGTTGAAGCCCAGCGCCACGTGCTCGAACCCTCGCTGCCGAGCGACACTCCCCTGACGATGCCGAGCTCGTTCACGCCAGCGACGAGGTCACGAGCCTCGAGCTTCTCTTCCACGATGTGGAACTCCACCTCCTCGCCGTTGCCGTCCTGCGCCACGCCGACGTCGCAGCCCAGCGCCACGAGCTCGTCGATCTCGTTGCTGATCGCCATATCCTTGCCGATGCCGTAGGACTTCTCGCCGACGTCGAAGACCAGCGCCACCGCCATCTCAGCGCCCGAAAACTCCACATCCGAGCCTATGCCCTGTGTGAAGTTGTGGTCCTTGACCTGCTCGTCGCGCGGGCCGATGACCTTGATGCTGATAATGCCGTGCATGCCGATGCTGCCAGAGACAGGCATGGAGCCGCCAAGGAAGTCAAATACCCTGACCACCTGGGACCCGTGCCGCATGCCAATGAAGTGCTGCTGGGTGCCATCGCCAGTCACCACTGCCTGACAACCCTCACCCACGTCCTCTTCTTTGGCGCCGCCGCTGGCTCCTCCTCCTCCGCCTCCTCCTCCTCCTCCTCCTCCGAGTCCACCTTCAGCTCTGCGGCGCGCAGGTCCCGGAGCCTCTTGACCTCGGGTGGAGGCGGGGCACTGCACCTCCAGTAAGTCTCCCTGAACCCGAAGTTCACGTACCTGCACATCTCGCACCTCCACTTCCAAATACGGGCGATGGGCACGCCCCGCTTGACCGACTGGGAGCACTTCTCCACCGACTCCGACGGCGACCTGCGAGAGCGTTTGCCCGTGCCCTCGTTCTGGGCCTTCTTGTCCCGCTTGGATGTATTAACCTTCTTCTTTGCGCGGGAGCAAGACCTCGCCCTTGAGCTCGGTGCATCCCGAGCCCTCTTGCGCCTGTCCTTGTCCCGCTTCTCGTCTTTGATTTTGGCCTTGTTCGCTGCGGGCGCCTGCTGCGCCTCCTGGAAGCCGATGGGCCGTCTCGTTCGCAGGCACCTCCGCGCGCCCCAAGGCGAGGAGCTCCGCATTGAGCTCCGCCCCCTGCTCGTTGCGCAGCTGCATCCCCGCGGTCGGCCGCGGGCCAAGCGGCCTCGCCACCCGCCAATCCGCCGGCGGCAACGCCGTGCCCCACCAGCCTGGAGGGGCATCCTCGAACACCTGTGTGAGCCCATGCTGGAATGTACTGTTCCTCTCCAGCGCGCGGCTCTTCGCAGTAGCTCCAATCGTCACCCACGTCCCTCCTGGAGAACGAGTCCTTCTAGGAGGCGTGCCAGGCGACGCTCCGGGCGGCGCCGCAGCCATTGCCGCCGTCGACCTTGACGTCCAGGACGGGAAGGCGAGGTCGAAGCCCTCGACGAAGCTCCTGGAGCGCTGCCCGAGCTCCGCGTCGACGGCCTCCTTCAGCGTTCTGACCTCGAACCTCATGCTGAGGCCCCCATCGCGGCCCGGGCCCGCTGCGCCCCTCTCAAGATGTGCGAGAGGACGAGGAGTATATATACGACCACGTCAGAGCTCAAAGGTGAATGAACGGAGACAATTGTGCTGTAAAGTGCCGAATTCGGAGGAGGACGAGGAGGAGAAGGAGGACGAGAAACTCTTGAACAGTGGGAGGCATGCACTGGCCCGGGCGTGGCCACGGGGCGTCCACGGCCCGAGGCGCCCTCCGGGAACTCCACATGGGCCTCCGGAGCCCTCCGCGATTTCGGGGCGCGGGCCCCGCGCCCCCTGCGGGCAAGCCGGCGCGCGGGCGCGCCCGAGCCACCTGCAGCTGCGGTTCTTCGCCTCCCCCCGCCGGATCCGGCGAGGCCCCGGCTCGCCACGTCCGGGCGCGCGGGCCTCGAGAGGTCCCCCAACCAAAAGTGCGCTGCAAGGCTTTTGAAGGCCGAGTTCCCTGGGCGTCCTTCGAGCTCTCTCTCTCTCTCTCTCTCGCTCGCTCTCTCTCTCTCTCTCTCTCTCTTTTTTTTTTTTTCTCTCTCTCTCTCTCTCTCACCCCGAGGGGCGGCCACAGTCGGTCGGAGCCGACCGCGGACGCCCGAACGCACGCGCAAGGCCGCGCAGCCCTCACGGCTGCAGGCCTGGCATCAGAGCTCTGTCTCTCTCTCTCTCTCTCTCTCTCTCTCTGCGCGCCCCTGGGGCGCCCTCGCGTCGCCGCGGCCAGGCGCGCCTCGAGCCTAGGTCTGCCCGAGGCCGGCCCCTGAGGAACGGATCTCGGACGGCGTGGGTTCGGAGGAGGGCCGGCCGAGACAATGGGGCGGCCCCTCCCCGGAGAGCCGGAAGTGCTTCGATTTGTGTCGGGACCTCCCAGCGGCCTCTCGATCCGCCTCGAAGAACGGGTCGGGATGGATCCCGGGAGGAGGGGGAGGAGGAGGAGGAGGAGGAGGAGGAGGAGGAGGAGGAGGAGGAGGAGGAGGAGGAGGAGGAGGCGGAGGAGGAGGAGGAGGAGGAGAAGGAGGAGGAGGAGGAGGGAGGCGGAGGAGGAGGAAGAGGAGGAGGAGGAGTAGGAGGAGGAGGAGGCAGGGACAGACTTTGAGCGGATTTGGATTGGGCCGTCGATCCGCCGTTCTCCACCGGTGGCGCCACCACGAGCGTGCCACCTCTAGAGAGGACGTCCGCGAGGCTCCTCCGAGCTGGGAGTTGGGAATTGGTTCGATCCGTAGGCGCCCAAGCGCTCAAGCCGAGGGACAAAAATGAAGGGGAACTGGGACACACAAATAAATACACACAAATAAAAGGACCCCCCATATTTTCCCATATTTTCTGGGTTCCTGTCTTGCCCCCCACTTCCCATAGTTTCCTATATTTTCAGGGGAATCGAGGATTCATTGTGTCTGTGCGTTTTTTCCTCTCCAGAAAAAAGTTGGGCCAGAACACGCTCCACAACTTTAGATACTTGCGCGGTCAACTGGATGCCTCTGTGATTGTCCGGGTCGCTCATGGCAGAGCGATTGTGCAAAGGGTACACCCAATGCTCGCACCAAGCTCGGGGAGGCATCTCGAGCGGGGACGGCACAAGGCACGGGGACTACCAGGAGGACCATGCCTGGCACTCGCAACTGGTGGTGGCGTCGTCTTCTCTCGTAACGTCTGCACAGCCGGGGGCTGAGATAATTTCGGGGATCGGAAACACCTGTCCCGCGAAGTAAGCTGACTGCTGACTAATTGTCTGTCTGCCTGATTGACTGGTCGCGCCCATTAGCAGGCCGTGTTATTCACTGGCCGTCGAGGGTCCATTTTTGGGCGCAACAAATATTAAGCAAATGTGTTCTCGGCCGCCGAGGACGGCAGGACGCAACCTATGCCGCAACAGGTCAGATGCATGTTTGTTGTCGGCAGGCCGGTTTGTTTTCGGTCGCCAAGTGCGCAACATATGGCGCAACCCATGGCGCACCCCACGGATGGCGCAACCCATAAAAGCATGCTGCGGCGCAAGAAACGGCGAAATCCGTGGCTTAACGCATAGCGCAGCCTGTGGCGCAATCTATAGATGGCGCATACGATGGCGCAGCCCATGGATGGTGAAACCCACGGCGCACCCTACGGCGCAACCAATGGGCACCACATCGCATGGCTCAAACTCAATGGTGCAACCCGCAACCCATGGATGGCAAAACCTATGACGCAACCATTCGATCACGCAGCCCATGGCGCAACGCATGGATCGCGTAACACAAGCCCGCATGAAAGGCGCAACCTACACCCATAGATGGCGTGGCGCACCGCCTGGCGCTTTCTACACGGCCACGCAGGATCCATGCTCGCTGTCTGGGCCTGCGGTGATGCTCGATCGGCGAGGAGCGGGGGGCGGATGTTTTGAACATCCACTGTCAAGGACCCACAGGCGCGGTCTAGCCAAACTGCTTACAGAGAGGAGCAGAGGAGGCGGAGGAGGAGGAGGAGGAAGAGGAGGAGGAGGAGGAGGAAGAGGAAGAGGAGGAGGAGGGGAGGAGGAGGAGGAGGAGGAGGAGGAGGAGGAGGAGGAGGCGGAGGACGCAGAACGGAGCGGGGCCCGAGGAAGAAACGAGAAAACTGCACGCGTGCTTCGTCACCGCGTGGCCGCCAGCCTGTCAGGGCGCGGGGGGGCACTCAGGGAGGTGGTCCCAGACGCGGTGCCTTCGCTGTTTCAGCCCATCGAAGATCGTTTTGTTAGCGGTCGCAGGGCCCAGTCCGGGCCCCCAGGGGCCAACAAAAACGGCGGACCAACCTTCTGCCCCGACTGCTTCACGACGCGAGCAGGTCTTCCGCTCCGCCGTTGTGGCGGTGGCCGCGGCCGCGGCCCGCCGCTAGGTCGTCGTCGTCGTCGTCGTCGTCGTCGTCGTCGTCGTCGTCGTCGTCGGCGCCGAACGCCGGCTGATGCGTCCCAAGACCCCTCGAGTCATGACACAATCACGGCGAACATTCTCGCTACGTTCGGCCTCTGGGGGGCCTGGCCATCGCTCGGACGTCCGTGCCCTGTGTTTTTTTCGGTTTCGTGCGTGGTTCTTTCGCCACATGATCAAGGATGCTCCTCGATGGCCCTCGCCGAAGGAAAAATGCACACGTCCGAGCGATGCCAGGGGCCCTTCCTGGCCCTGGGTGGGGGCCGTCGAGCGGCGACTCGGGATGAACAACGGGCCCCAGGAATTGGTCGAGGCCTCCGGGGAGCGACGTCGCGGGTCTGGGGTCCTCGCATGGGCCCTGGTGCTGTGGATGTCATGACAATTGGCACTCTAACAATCCTATCATTGAATTAAAGATGTGTTTAAAATGTGTACAACATGTTCTTTGAATGCTTCACATCTGTTTTTACACACACATATAGATAGATATAAAACATGTTCCAGACATCTGGGAATCATTTGGCAGCCTGCCTCCTCTGCATTTATCTTCCTCCACAGCCATGGTGGCGCAGTACACTACTCCTGCCACCGGCCAGCCCGAACACTTCTGGGGAGGAGGGGGAGAGAAGGCGGAGCGGTGCAGAGTTCAGGCGGGGCGGCCCCCCAAGCCCTACAATCATCGTGCTACCAGAAGGAGCGCTGAACCCTCGGCTTTGAATCGGCTCCCTGGTGTAGATCTACGGAACGGCCCGGAAACCAGAACCCCTCCCGAGCCCAAAACGGTCCTGAATTTCGGTGTCTTCTGTACGGCAGGCTCGTGCCGCGACGACCCCGGCGCCACCGCTCGGAGCGTCCAACCTCGAACGATCGGCGGCTTTTCGTGAGGGGGCCCGGGGACACACAAATAAACACACGCAAACCCGAGCTTTCCCTACATTCTCTCATATGTTCTGGATTCTCGTATCCGCCCCCCACTTCCCATAATTTCCCACATGTTCCTGTTATTGAGCAGGGACCGACCGTCCCGGCATTCCTATAGTCATACCACGACATGTTCTTAGAACCCAAACATGTTCTAATAACAAAAACAGTGTTCTCAGAACATCAACCCGATGTGTTAAACCAAGACAGTCCCAGCCAGAAATGCTCTGAGAACATACCGTGGGAACCACATAAGGTTCTTAGAACATTGTTCGGGGGGGCTATAGGCGAGCCGGGACGCTTCGCCACTGCGTGACACTCCCCATAGTTTCCCACGTGTTCCTTTTCATCGACGCTTATGTGCGTCTGTGTGTTCTCGTGCCCACAAGAGGAGGAGAAGGAGGAGGAGAAGGAGGATCGAGGAGGAGGAGAAGGAGGAGGAGAATCGAGGAGGAGGAGGAGGAGGAGGAGGAGGAGGAGGAGGGAAGAGGGAGGAGGAGGAGGAGGGAGGAGGGAGGAGGAGGAGGATCGAGGGGGAAGAGGAGGAGGGATCTCCCTCCGCCGGCATGATGTTCCAATCCCGGCCTGCGATCGGCCTGCGATCGGCCAGCAGATCGTGGCAACAGCGGCCGGCTCAAGGGCCGCCGGCGGCGCTCTCGGCCTGGAGCGCCCGCGCTGGGACCGCCGCCGCGTCGGCACCACACGGGCCTGCCATCAGGTCGGGCCTGTGCCCCCACAGGGGGGTCATCTTGAACGAAAAATGAGAAATAGTCAACAAAAATCAAGCAAGAATCCCAAATTGCCCAAAAATGCTAAAGGGGTCTTGAACGAAAAATAGGAAATAATCAAAAAATGCTCAAAACAAGAATCCCAAATGCCCAAAAATGCTAAAAATATAGTCCCCGTGTTATGTTTCCACCATTGTCGAATATTCCTCCTGTGCAGGGGCAGGCCCGACTTGAGCCTACCAGATGGGGGGGCGGCGGGGCAGGGGCGAGGGAGGAACCGTTGAGCAGGGACCGACCGTCCCGGCACTCCTGTAGTCCTGCCACGAACTGTTCGTAGAACCCAAAAATGTTCTAAGAACAAAAGCAATGTTCTCAGAACATAAGCCCGATGTGATCAAACAAGACAGACTCCACCAGAAATGTTCCAAGAACATGTCGTGGAGACCGCAAGGTTCTCAGA